TTCTTGCCATTGACCAAAAGTGAATTCCCAAGTCCATTGCTTGATTTTTGAAGCAGGAATTTTGTTGTAGCAAGGAGGAAGGCTGGAAGCAGTGACCTGTTTGGCCAGCTGATCAGCTGCCTCATTTCCAGGTACACCAGTGTGTCCCCGGACCCACCTAAAAGAAATCACAAGCTTGTGGCTATTGATGCTAAGATAATGATGGATTTGCAAGATATTGTCACCCTATTATGGGGACTAAAGGTGGAATGGAGGGCCGTCGTACAATCAGTGTAGATGGTGATAATTTTGTTGTGAGGGAACCATTGAGAATAGACATGATCCATCACCTTGACAATGGCCAGGATTTCTGCCTGCAGCACACTGCAGTGCGGGCCCAGTTTGAAAGCAGGATCTGTGGGTGACACCAGTTTTATGGTGGTAAAGGATGCCCCAACATCTGCTAGATTCTTTGATTCATCAGTGTAGATCAGTGTTTCTCAACCTCTAACGAATCGTCGCCCCCTTCAATAAAACTGTTACGTAGTATCGCCCCCTTCAATAAAACCGTTACGTAGTATCGCCCCTTCAATAAAACCGTTACGTAGTATCGCCCCCTTCACTACAAAATTCCAATGCCTAGGGACAAGGCTAATGCCAAATTCTTAGTGCATTGAATAGACTAGTGACTAGTATAATGTCATTTGTTTAATTATTGTACGATAAAACGAATAAAATATCTAATTATTCTTAATATAATATTTTACTATATCGCCTAGAAAATTGTTTTTCACCCCCCCAAAATATAAATTGTTACTAATCGCTCCCTGAACATGAAAAAAACGCCCACGTGGGAGTGATATCGTCTGCGTTGAGAAACACTGGTGTAGATGGAGAAGAGTCGCTGTCAACATTTTCACTTAAGTACTTGTCACCAAGAGTAGGATAATTTTCATAATAGTTGGAATCTTCCAGCTTGTGCTTGATGCCAAAGTTAGCAATGTTGCTCTTTATGTGGTCCAGAAAAACAGAGAGGATGTTATTATGACTATTGCTGCTGTTGGAAACTTTGCCATTCACTTTGTTACAGATATTCCAGTTCAATATAGCCATCCTGGCTTTAATATACACTAGAAGGAGGCCCACAATGACAAGCAGGGTCGAAGTAGGCACCGTTCTGTATGCTCTACAAATACGTAGAGCGACAATCCTCTGTGTCTTTAGGAGTTTGCATTGAATGTGCACAGTTTGGTTGGCCACTGCCCAGATAGGCGCAGCGTACAAAAGAATAGGCTCTATGGCCCCCAGGTAGATATAACATGCCGCATTATAATGTATTCCCCAGGTGTTTTTTTGTGATACTGTTCAGAGCATTAGACACCTGAACAGCTTTGGCACTCACCATGTCTATGTGTTTAGTCCATTAGAGTTGCAGCTCAAGAACAACCCCGAGATAAGTGAAGTTAGTTACTCTCGGAATCCGATACCCATCTATAAGAATCCTAGGACTTTTCTGGAGTGGTGTTTTTTCAAGAAAATAATATATGTGCACTTGTCGTAGTTGATTGGCAGATTAACACTTTTACTCCAGTTGGAAACCTTTTCAAGTAAATTATTACAGAGGACAGGCAGTTTTCCACTGTTCTTGTCTGACATGAGAATCACTCTGTTGTCTGCATACCCTTGCAAAAGCTGATCTTTTGGTCCATTGAGAATTGTTAGGAGGTCGTTATGTACAATTGCCCACAAGCTAGGGCCAGCAATTGAACCCTGTGGGCAACCTTTGGTAACACGATGGCTGTATCTAAAGTTGTTGGTGCCAGCTTGCCTGCCTCTCATTTATGAAACTACTCATCAGGTTGTATAAGTTGTGCGGCAGTTATAAACCCACAGTTGATGGAGAATTGACGGCCACCAGAGATTATCAAACGCTCCACAGAAGTCAATAGACACAAGGAGTGTGTGTTTACCTTCTTTTTTTGGCAGAAGTGATGTACTTAATAATGTTGGACACAGCAGCAGTAATGGATTTTCCAGATGTGAATCTGTGCTGGTGGAGACTTATTTCTCCTCAAATAATTTAAAATCCTATTGCTGACCAGCCTATCAAGGATTTTAAATTTTCTCATCACAGGAAGGAGGCTGATAGGCCTGAAATCCTTTGGGTGTTTAGGATTATCATTAGACCTCTTTTGAATGAATTTAACAGATGCTTTTTCCCAGTCAGCAGGGAAGTACCCAAGAGAAATGCAGCAGTTGTACAGAGTAACAAAAGTAGTAGGAATTGCATCATATGCCTCTCAGATTATCTTCCCAGTTACCTGATCAATGCCTGGAGCTTCTTTGATTTTAATGAGTTTAATAGCATGGGATACTTCATTATACGTGAATGGTCTGTCGTCCTGGTCTTTTGATGCCACATGGCAGTTGCTGCACAATTCTCTCTGGGTGTCAGTATCAAGATCGGCATCGTCAAATGGGAAGTGATAGTTGAAGAGCTCTTCCATAGTACTTGTTAGGGAGTTGATGTGAGTGCCCTTTGCCATAAGTATCATAGAGGGAATTTCCACCTTGTTTTTCCTCTTAAATGCAATATAATACAGCTTGCTCCAAGGGGTGTTGAAGCGGCTGCAATAGCTTCTCCATGCTTGGTGTCTATTACGATTTATTAAGGTTTTATAGTCATTAAATTTGGCAATGTAGTTGACCCTTTGGATTTCCCTCATGTTACCATCTTTGTCTCTGATATGTTCTATGTAGCTAATCACATCCTTTCGACAATAATCAAGTTCATTATCCCACCATGGGGCTTTTGTATTCTTTTTGTTTTTCTTACGGCTTGCCCAGTGGTAGCTATGAGTATGGTCATAGTCAGGTCAGAAACACACTGATCAATTCCATCTTCTGTCATACCAGTAATAGGAGAATCTGTGACCTAGTTGTTCTGTAGCAGGTGCTTGTAAGTGGGCCAGTGGGTACAGCTGTAGGTAGTAATATCATTGATCCTATTGATTTCAATGTTTAGTTCAATTTTAACATAACGATGATCACTGGGACTCAGTTCTTCCATAGTTGAGCAGTAATTAATCATGGGAGCCATTTAACATGGGTAGCTAATGTGACATCCACCCAGCTTTCTCCCCTTGAAGAAAAATAGGTGGGGAGAAGGCTGATGTTGCAGGATGTCAGTTGAAGAGTTGCTATCAGTTCAAGCATGCAATAGCCCCTTGGATCTTCTTTAGGACTATGCCATAGGAAGGATTTAGCATTGGGATCACCACAGATAAAGCCATGGGTGGTCGGTAATTTTGTTATTGATATTATCAAGGTCCTCTAACAAAGGCTCAATGTTTTCAAAAGGCGATCAGTAGATAGAAGAAATATAGATGACCATGTTCTGAGTGTGCACCATACCAGTTGTAATATAGCAAGTTGAGAGATGTAGCATGAACTGAGCTGAACAGTTAGGCTAGTATCTTTTATAAGGATGGCTGTTTTGATCTTATCATTAAAGCCTCTGGGAGGGATAGTAAAGTAGCCATTAAAAAGGTACGGTTCCTGGACCACAATGATGTCTGAGTGCCAGTCCTCTGCAGTTTTGATGGCCAAGGAGGAAGGGGCTTTGCCCCTTTGGAGATTGATCTGCATAATTTTAAGGTTGTTATGATTTGACTGAGTAGTAGTGTTGTGGAAATTAAAGGCCATAATTAGTTTGGCTGACCATGTTAGATTTGATTCTGTTGGTTATTGGGCATGCAGGATCAAAAGCATTGTGGTCAGTTTTCAGCTGCTTGCCTTCTGGTTGAACTTTATTAGTGGCTTTGCAGTTAGTACAACAAGGAGCCTTGTCAAGGCACCAGCAGTCAGCAAAATGGTGCTGCTGTGCACAGTGGCTACATCTAAGCTCTCCTGGACACTCACTGGTATGGTGATTGTAGTCAATTCTCTGCACAATTTATTGCATAAAATACATACTTATGTCAATATAGTTTGATAACATCACACAAAAAACAACAGAAAGGCAAACTGTCACACAGTAATAACAAGTTAATGTCCAGTATGTTCAAAAAGTTCGCCATTGTTATCAAACTGTATTGATATAAGTACGTATTTTATTCAATAAATTGTGTATTTCTTCATACCTATGGCTATTCCTTTCAAACGTTTACATAAAATGGCGTGCATCGCTTTCGGACATTTTTGGTTATATAGGTGACAGTTTATCTTATCTGTGTGAACCACATGTCGTTTCATACTAAGTAATTGATGCTCTAAAACTTTCTAATTGGAAAGTTTGCTCTATCTGTTTTCGTTTTCGATTTGCACTGCCTATCTTCCAAATTTCACTACTAGGAGCGCTGTTGTCATTTGCATTAGGTCGGGCGTAGTCACTATACTATACTGTTACCTCACTTGCATAGCTATAGCTCTCTCCGTTTGCAAGAATTTTCCAGTTAAAGGGACTTTCCTATGCATCCTGTATACACAAAACTTACGATTAAGCAGTTACAATGCTGATGCGGCAATCAAAAACAGAACTGCGGTTCACCACATCCTAACTGTCTGATTCCTACAGGACCAGCCAGTTCCAATTGTATAGAATGCAGATGGAATTAAATTGCATAAACTGGTATGGTTAATAAAATTTTAATGCCATTAATTAATACAACATGCAAGGTCATGGAGTTGCATAGCAATAATAACTTGATTTTGATCAAAAGTGCAGATAGGACCCTCCTGTTCTAGCATGACAATTTCTCTTTTGGAAACATTTTTAGTACATTTAGAGAATAATAATATCCAGAAAATTATAAAAATTTTGTAGAATTTGCTTTGTTAATTATATTAATTATACATTTGTTGTCTTTTCAGAAATTTAATTACTTTCAAGTGTATCATAAAATTAGTAATTTTTTATTTAAATAACATTATATTTATATGTAATTAATAATTAATTAAGTTTTATATAAATAATTGATAATAGTAATTTTAATATTCATATGACGATTAAAACTTTCTAGAGATGTGCAAAGCGGGGTATTGAACATGATGCTCCTATTGCTCGCTATTATGAAAGATTGGCTACAGTACAAGCAAGAGGTTCTCAGGCTAGTCATCAAGTACTAAGAGACATTCTGAAAGATGTACAAAGTATTATGGTTCCTAGAGATATGATGCGTGAATGGGCATCTCACACTTATACAGGTGCTACTAATTATTGGACATTCCGGAAACAGGTAATAAAACTTGATAATTGCTATAAAAATAATTACTTTAATATCTGTAATATTTAACTACTAAACCAGATTCAAAAATTATAATAGTTTATATAATTCTATAGAATTATGTATTAATGCGTGTATAAATTTTTTTTTCTAGTTTACATTGCAACTGTCTCTAGCAGGATTTGCAGAATTTGTGCTTCATTTGACTCGTCTGAATCCAGACATGATGTACATTCATCAAGATTCTGGTCTCATGAATATCTCATATTTTAAATTTGATGTGGATGATGGAACTGGTAATTATTTAAAAATTAAATATATAATGGAGTCTTGAAAATTCAAGTTTATTGTGAATGAGACCACTTCAAATTATCAAAAACTTGAAGTATACAGAATATACATCAATTGAAAACAGTAATAAGTAAAACAAAAGTTTAAATAATGTGTTTACTATTTATAAACACAGATAAGGAGTGCTATGAAATAATGTTTGGAGTGGCCTCCAAACACTGAGTTAACGTTGGGTTGGGGACAGAGCCTCTCTTATTCAGCTTTAGACTAGTTACAAATTTTATCCTGAGAATATATGCCAAAATAAAGACCCATATGTATATGTATATCACTGGCCAAATGACCGAGTTAGTTATAGCATCACTCTACTGTTCTTGGGATTTTGGATTAAGTCCAGGCAGTCAGAAAAATTGTAGGGATTTTCTTGCAATGAGTTAATACATGGTGTGTTCAAAAAGTATCGGACCTTTGGTCGGCAAAAATAAATTTATTGACTTTGAGGTACAAAACCCTAATCCCCTTCAAAGTAGTCTCCTTGGTAATGTATACACTTCTCCCAGCGTTTTTGCCATTGCTGGGAACACTGTTAGAACGCATCTTTTGGAATGGCCATCAACCGGTCCGTCAGATTCCGCACGATGTCTTCTCTTGACTAAATTCGGGTTCCTTTTAGCAGCATTTTCAGCTTGGGAAATAGCCAAAGGTCACACAGAGCCATGTGGGGAGAGTACGGAGCGTGACGAACCACAGGAGTGTAGTGTTTGGCGACGAAAGCCCGAATCAGATGCGTAGAATGGGCGGATGCGTTATCACAATGGAGCTGCCAAGTTTTGATCGACCACAGATCCGTCGTTTGCGTCGCACTGTATCGGAAAGACAACGAAGGACCTCCTGGTAGTACTCCTTTGTGATGGTTTGGCCTTGTGGTGTGTACTCACGACACACCACCCCACGAGAGTCGAAAAAACTGTCAACATGATCTTTGATATTGCTGTGGACCTGCCGCGCTTTTTTTGGCCTCGAGGATCGTCCCCGAAAGCCTGCTGAATCTTGCAAATGGTTTACGCTTGGGTATCACCAAGGTTTTTGGCAAAATTTGATGTAATATCGTTGCTCACGTTGTTCAGTCATTTTCCAGCTTAGTGAAATCCGACGAGAGCGCACTACATGACCTCACTCATAGGCCGATTGCCAACGACTGACGCTTTCTGCAGGCAGGAAAAAATTCAGGGCTGTGCATGACTGTCCCCTCCACAACTCCACCAAAGGAGGCCTCTTGCGCATCATTGGTTTATGTGGAAAAAAAAGGTCCGATACTTTTTGAACAGACCTCGTATAATTTTAAAAATGAACATATCCAAGGGACACTTATCAGAACCCTCTTCAGCAATCAGTTACTTTAAAATAAATATAATAATGCATATTGCATAACCTGAATTAGTTGAGATTAGATAACTAAAGTAATTCTAGTGTAATTGAGTAATATTCTATGAAAAATTACAGGAGGGGGCATACGTCTGGTCATTCTGAATATGCCTTCAGCAGCACGCATAGTCTCAAAATTTAATATAAGTATTAGTCCAATGTGGATGCCATTATAGTGGCCTACAGCCCAAATTGTGATATGTTATTTTCAAATTAGAAGTTTAAAATTGCACATTGTGACAGGCCAAATGTCAGTTTGCATGGGCTGTTCCACTGCAGTCTGTATCTACATAAGGACAGTCTTTTAAAATTTCAAGTAATATATAGTTCATGACAAATGTGTGAGAAGCCGGGGATTAGAGAGCAAATCTCTCAACCCCTTTGATTGGCATTGAGTTGGTAAAACCTGCTCATGTTGTTACTGGATGGCTAGATGGGCTATAAGTAGAGTGGGGAGGTCACAGATAAGTTGATGAGGTGTCTGGTTTGAACAATTGGAGTCAATGCCAGTTTAACTAAACAATATCTTTAATAGGAAAATAAAGCAATTTACAATAACCAGCTACAATTACAAATATATGTATGACATATAGCACACACATCCCTATACAATCCAATATCTATGGGATATATACAACCTCTAAACTAAAGATCTAAGTCGAGAGAGAGAGAGAGTTTACATTTATTTGGTCCAATAGAGGTATTCTACTTAATGTCCCTGCTTTAGGCATCCGGCGATGGTTTCAGAGAGACATTTGGAGAAATGAGTTGTTCTGGAGAATGGCTGGATGGGAGTCTTGGGCCACCTGCTTCTTTGGTGGAGTCTGCCCCGATGATCGAGTTTGAGCCCTTTTTATTCTTCCGAAGCATGGAGTCAAGTCAGATTACTTTTATTTAACCTGTCCTGTGTTGTTCCTGAAAATATTCAGGTTGACCTCATTGACCTGCATGGGCAATCCCGAATATTTTCGTGTTTACATCGGAACGTTTTTGATACTAGATGTTGCTATGCGTCACAATTTTTATATTAAAATGAACTTTTAAAATATAATTTTTTGTGTTTCTATATTATTCAATATATTTTTATTTTGTTTGTGAAACATAAAAAAATAATTTTTTATGATACAGTAAACACGATTGTTATTTTAAAAAAAAATTTTAGGCTTAACATCGATGAAAATTCAACATGGCGTCACAGACAACAAATAAAAATTTCAACATCGAATAGGTTAATGTGGTCTAAGTTTGAGATGTGTCACTGATACAGGCCATAAATAAGGCTTCGATGACCTGGCCAGATTGTTGATACTTTTTGCCAGGTGCTCTGACTCTTTTTTACCATATAAGGCAACAAATTCGAAGTTCTTAGACATCACTATCGATTTCACTCTTCTTACCTCATAATTTAACTGATTTTGACATCTCTCCTCATTAATAACCATATGTTTAGCTTCTCTCTACACTTATCCAAAACATTGTTAAAATTGTCAATTTGTATGGTTATTTGATTGCCTTATCTATTGGTCAGAAAGGCCAGGTGGTGGAAAAAAGTGTGTTTTATCCAATTCTCAAATTTAACTGCATATTAATGTTTTCCCTTTAATTAAACTAATGAATTGCTCCAGAATCTCACAAATGCAATCTAACTGTTTATATGGACCATACATATTAGAATGAGACTTTTTAAAAATTTAATATGTGATAGACAGATTAATAAATAAAATTGCACTATTTTTCTCAAGTGAAATATACTAGCCCATCAGAAAATTGGGAATTTTTCAGTGGGCCAGTTTACCACTAGTGATAAAATACCTTGTTAGAAATAATGATTAAAAAACTTAACAAATTTAGCAATCATTTAATATTTCAATAAAATAAATCTTTGACAAAGTGTGATTTTTATTCATTAGACATAATAATTTAGTTTTTAAATTCTTCTGTTTATTTCTTAGGTGAACTGGATGCCAATCGACCTGTTCCTTTCCGTTTGACTCCAAATATATCAGAATTTATCACACCCATTGGTGTTGGTGGCCCTATGACTGCAGCAATGATTGCCACAGCTCGATGTTTGGTTCAGCCTAATTTTAGAGTTCAGGCATTACTGAGAGCAATTTTGATTGATGAAATTCTGGCTTGGTATAAAAAGGTAAAAATAATTAATTAATGATGCATCTTGAAGTAAATTATGATTATGAAATAAATAACAAAATGTCTTATTAGCGACAAGATGAATCACCCTGTACTGCTCAAGGTGACACAGAAGGGGAGTTGATTACTATGGTTACAAAAGCTGTGGTTGCCATTATGGGAAGGTTACACAGTAAGTAAAATTGCTATTTTAAATAAAATATGATTAATAATAATTAATATAAAAAAAATACTGAAATGTTCTAATTATAAATCTTCAAAATTTAAATACAAAATTTTTTACGAGTATCCATTTTGATATTCAATATCTCAGATAATTTCAGTTATACATGACTCCTAACATTTCATACCCAAAGACAAAAAAGAAAAAAAACCAGTTTTTTTGGACTTTAAAAAACTTATGATTTAAATAAAGATGAACTGTTGACTATGAGAATATTAGATATATATATATTATAATAGTTAATTGATTTTAAGTGTTGACTTAATGTGTGGGCATGAGTTACATTCAATAGAACACTCATAAACAACAATTTATACAATGTAAAAGTAATCAAAATTCCAAAAGCTTTCCCTTACTTAGGTTGATAATTACATGTTTAATTTTTTAAACATGTAATTATCAACCTAAAAAAAGTATAAAACAACTGACTGATTGATAAATTAGGTGAAGTCAAATAAACTTGATTTTTTAAAGAAATTTTTCTTACAGTACATAAACTGAATGCTAGTTGCATAAAAGTAGAAATGTAAATAATTCATAGATATCTAACTATAGCAAAGAAAAAAGCAGTGAATGATATGTATATGCAAAGTTAAAAAATTACACATGAAGTTAATTTCTAAAATTAATTATAATGTTTACATTTATAATAAGGCATATCATTTGGTGGATTGCATGTAGGATTATTTCATGTTCATTTCATTAGCATTATTTTGTTGTTGTTGTGACTTTAATGTAATCATCAAAATTTTTTATTTTATATATGGTATCTCAGCATGCTATTTTACTTTTGTTTTGTTTGAAATATAATTGTGTATTATTAAAAACTTATAATGAAATATTAATTTTGTCAGAATTAAGTACATTATAAAAAATGATAGGTCAATATGCTTTTACAAAAAGTGTAAGGTATAGAAGAACTTTTTAAAGTGATCGTCCTTTTGTAAAAAGTTTGAAACTATTGACTTAGCTTGAATGCGTGTATTTCTCTCTTGCTTATCAATATTCCACCATAAAGTAGAATGAACAGAATATTTGCAAGCTTTTTTTGGTTATTGATTCTTATTAATTTATCAGATAATGCTTTTGTCTATGATAAATGTTTAGAAGAATTGCTTTACCTCAACTGAACTTAAATCTTTTAAAATTTTAATTTTATTTATATAACATTACAAAATAAAATGGATTAAAAATTCTCATTTTTCCCATTTAGATTTAGCAACATTTGATGGGGCTGACAGTAAAGTGAGTACTCTAGTTGCAGCAGCAAATAGCCATGACAACTTGTGCAGAATGGATCCAGCATGGCATCCTTGGCTATGAGTAGTTTTTTTGTAATCTTGTAAAATATTCATCTCAGATAACATCAACCTTTTTTTTAATTTAAACATTTAAAAAAATAATAAAATCATTTCCATTCCCATATTTAAGATTCAGAAGTCTTCATATTGTAAATGTATAAATGAAACAAGCCAAGTAACATTTGTAGAATTTAATATAACATGTACAAAAATTTTGCATATTTGCATACTTTTGTGAATGTAAAAACAATAATAAAGTATCAGTTTGTATTAGATGCTATAATCTTGTTTGTTGAATTAAAACAAAAAACTTCACTAAATTCTAAATTTAGAAATATTTTCATGACAAATTTAAATTGATTTGTTCATTGAAAACAAATACTATTTTTATGCAATGAATTCTTGTACTGAATCATGCTTTTGATTTGCTTTATCCAATAAAATATACTGGATCATATATAATCCATACTCATTTTTATACAAAATCAGAGAAACTTTTAAAAAAGTGCAAAAGTAATGTATTTGATACATAGATGGATGAAATTGTTATTTAATCTCAATTATTCATTTTCAGCAAGAAACATTTGTCAATTTACACAAAATTTTAAATATTTTAATTCATTTTTTTTCTATATGAAAGTGTAAGTATATTTTTTAGTTTCTTGTTAATTGTTTTCACCACAAAATGTGTACATTAATTGATGTTTACAGTTATATTTTCTATTGGAATATTCATTTTTCTGAGTTTAAACTTATTCGTGTTGTGGAAAATCAAAATGTGATTCAAGAGAATTATTTAACAAATATTTAAAATATCCATAAAAATTTTTCATTGGCAAATTATATTTGAAATTTCCATTTTAATTACACTAAATTGTTATATAATGTTAGCAGTTGAGATTTTAATTGACTTTATTTCTCAAATATCACAATCACAAAAGAATTACAACAATCAATATACAGTATTGCGCAAATTAATTACTTATATTTTTTGTCTTGTTTCTATTACTTATTTATTTTTCTTTCCATTAATTTGCACAGTATTGTTCATATATAAAAGAGAATGAAGAATAATTAAATTACTGTTTAAGGATTTGTATTTTGCTAATGTGTTTTAGATCTTTTTGTATGGAAAATTAATATAACAAAAACATTTCTTGTAACTTTTTCTGATAATCTTTAAGTGAATGTACGGATAGAAAATATTTGATTTAGAAATTTAATTCAGATGGTGATAAAATTAAGACATAAAAAACAAGTAGTGGTGATGGCCAAAATTGTTAAAGTGCTTTGCTGCTCTGGGGAATTTGGGATTGAATCTGGATGAGTCAAAAAACTCCAGGAATGTTTTAGTGGTCTGTCTAGATCTGGATATGTCATCTTTTGTCCCTCACAACCCTGCTATCTTGTGGGCTTGGCCAAACCCATAATGGGCTTTCTAAAAAGACCTCTTAGTGCCCATAGGATGGAAAGAGTTAAAATAAGAAGAAGGAGTAATAATAATTAATTTTTTCAATGTTCAAAAAAAGCATAATGACTTTCAGCTGATTTTTTATTGGAAATAATTAATTAATAATTAAAAAATAGAATTGTTTGTTACTATTAAAAAAGTGTGTTTATATGCCAAAATAATGATTAATTCACTCGTTTAAAAAATTAAGTACATTTTTAATATCAAAATGAATATTTTTATAACATGAGTAAATATTAAAAAGAAAACAAATTGATCTAATATATTTTTTTGCAAAGATGAGGAAATCTTTCCAATAGAGCTCTAGTGACATTTCCAGGTACTCGTTGATGTTGGGCAATGAGTTGTTTAACTGCTTTTGACGTCTATAAATTAAAAATGTACAAAATAAAAAATTCAATTGAATGTAATCAAAACATTACAGTAATAATAATTTACCTTTTCTGCCAGTTGTTCGGCTGACATTTTTGGATCGTAAGGAATGGGTTTTCCAATTACTGTTCTAATATAAAATATGCTTAATAAGCATTTAATCAATAAACTTAAATTTTGTTCCAATTCTTTAAAATTAAAATCAGATTCAACATAAAATTAAGCAGCTTACTTCAGTTTTACAGGGAAATTTCCATAAATAGGTACAATTGGTATTCTGGTTGCTTCATACCACTTTCTAAACCAATCTATGGAAAGATCTTTTTATTAATAAGTGATGTACGCAAATTTTCAGTAGGAACATAGGAATTTTAATAATAGATTTGACTTATAGGAATCATCGAATCAGATAAATGATCTTCCTATTTATTAGGATTTTAATTTTTATATATATATATGCTATAACTGAAATGCTGATGTAAATAATTGATAGATGTGATGGAAGATAATCAGACTGATTTTTTTACTTATGTATTGAAATTATATGATGTAAATATAATGAAATTAGTGTTTCTTCTAAGTATCAATATTTACCTACAGTAACTTAGGTCTTGGTTGAAATTAATAATGTATTTCTGGAAAGAAAATGAAATAAGTGGAAAATAAATTATTGAAATAGGTGAATGTAATGTGGCATTGAAGATTTATTATAATAAAAGTAACAGAAGAAACTATTAAAAGTTACCGTGTTATGGATGTGGTAAAGCCAAAAATAAGCAATTTTTGGAACAGGTTTTATTATACAACATACAACTCTTACTATCACATGATTTCAAAATAAGCTTCAACTGTAGCTATACACTTTTGTCTGCTTCCATGCTACTAGTCAAAAAAACAGCTTTCAGATTGTTTTGTGATATCTTTAGGGACTAAATAAATAAGCACGTTTGTACTAAATAACAAATTTATTTTTATATGTTTGTGAATAGTTATTACTAATCTTATAAGTCATTAAAATGCAATCGATAATTTAATGTATTAAAAGATTTTAAAAAATCCTTACGTTTTCCTATAGATAAAGGGCAGAATATTTCACGAATATTAGTTGTGAAAACCGGAATTATTGGCTACATAAAAAAATAGTAATAATTAATTACAAGTGTTCTGAAAAAATGTACCAAATAAAAAATCTACTCACCGCTTTTCCTTTTATTGCGACTTTTGCAAAACCTAATCTCTTTCCCCACAAAAGCTGGTAAGAACTATCTGCAAATTGTGCTTCTCTCATTCCTCCTGGAGCTATGGCTAATAAATCACCATTGTGGAGACAACTGACGCATTCTTCAACCGTACCAATATGAATTCTCAAAGATTCGATAAAAGAATTGAAGACTGGAAATATATTTGTTTGAATGTTCAATACCAAAATGAAGCTATTATTATTATTCATCGAAAGTTCTAGTCGTCCTGGTTCACGATTTTATGAACAGGATGATTAGTAAGAAACGGAACATTTTCTTAAGAGGAAAATTATAAGCACAGTTCTAAAGTAAATTTTCTGATAAACATCCATCTTTGCCAACGTGACAAAATAAAATTCACGCTGAACGTAAATTCGAAATTTTTTCATTTACACTTTAAAATTTCATTTAAAAATTTTCCTTAATTACATTTATAAAATAAACCAGAAAGGATTTATTCAATACCTGGTAATTGAAAGACGAATTTATCTCCAATAGAATATACCAATCGGTTTAGTGTTAAGTAGATGGTAGAATGGGTGGAGTACCAATCCACAGGTAAAGCACCATGATAATACACGATTACACCCGGCCCTTCTTTTGGTATGTTTTCCAATCCTATGATTTCGTGCCCTGTAAATTATAAAATTCTATTATTCATAATATACAAAAAGAAAATTTTAGAGTAGAGTAAAACATTATAGATTCTCTCTTAATTTCTGAATAACTTAACAACAAATTATTTATCACATTCATTGTTTACATATATTTTATTTACAAATGATTATTTACAAATGATCAAACATAAGCAACCAAATATTTTTACTTGTTTGCTGAAATATTTTGTTTCAGATAAGCGGCATCTAGCATAAATCAAGTAATTTTAAGACAGTTGCGATGGCATTCTTTTGACTGGGGGAGAAATAAAGGAGCCATGTTTTTTCAGAATTCAAATCTTCGTTTATCGTGGTCGTTTGAATTTAAATTTTTTTTATTAGATTTCATTTAGCGTAGAGCCAGTTACTTTAATTTTGAACAAGAATGGTATGTTTCTGTGTGCATATTATTATTGTTCTGCAATTATTCCATAATTTTATTGGTAATATTTATGCTTCTTACAATCTGTTCTTACGCTAAAAACGATTGAAGGAATAATATGAATAGGACTAAATGTCATCATTATTTCTATAGTATTTAAGTCTATCTGTTGGGAGCAAATATAGCTAAATTAGCTTAGGAATAAAACAAATCTAGGAATAAATAAGTCTAGGAATAAAAGAGGCCATCGTATGGCCTCTTTTATTCCTAGACTTATTACACCGTCCTAAACACAAGATCAGCCTTAGAACATCAATTTATTTTCCAAAAAAAAGAATGCATTTCGGACCTACAATCCCCTTATCAGCTTCTTTACCAATCTTCATAAAATTGTACATTTCCAGTCTGAAAATGTGTCAATGAAATCTCAACGTTTGATAAAGTTATCGGTTACAGATCCAGCCATTAGGTATTTAATTATGTTGAAACGATGTCTAGAGCAATACGATTAAAACAGTAAAACATTACACAGCATTATAAGCCAGCAACAGTTATAAGTATGAATAAAAGACACTGTTAAAGTACAGTGTATCATTTATTTTACGAAACCGTTCATTAACAACGCTACAACCAAATAAGTTTTATTTGGGTGTAGCGTTGTTAATGAACGGCAATGTAATGGTTATATAAGTAAGTTGTTACAAAAAGAAAGCAAAAGGGTTATTTATTGTAGAGAAACTACAAATGAAAAGAAGGTTCTAGTATTCAGTGTATTCATGCTAGATGGGCCTAATAATGTGATACGAACGGGCATGGAGGCATACAAGTGCTGTAAGGTATCCTGCAGCATCTCGTCCACAGTTGCTGCAAGCGATCCTCTAGTTTGGTCAAATTCCTAGACTGTCCAACTTAGCATCCAAGGTGATCCCAGATATGCTCCTGTCATGACAGGCAACACCTGGTTGCAAGATGTCACTAACATACTGCTGGGCTGTCATGATCTCTTGAATCACTACAACAGGTGACCAGGCTGTCGTAGGTGATGGCATCACAGACTATTACACTAGCTGTGGGGGCGGTGTGCTGCTCCAAAGCCGTAGACAGGATTGAGACGTTTACCACGGGCATCCAGACACTAACACGGCCGTCGTCAGTGCCCAAACTGAATCTAGATTCGTCACTGTAGATTACTCGGTTCCATTCTGTTGTGGTTCAATCCCATCGGGAGCGACATCATTCCAAACGGAGGCGACGGTGGGTGGCAGTCAATAGCAACATATGTAATGGCTGCTACAATACCAAATGTTCCTCACTCAGGCGTCTTGAAATGGTAAGGGCAGACACAGAAGCCTGTAATGATGGCGCCAGCTGTGTCTGGATGGTGGACAACGACACAGAGCTTGTGGTCTGCCAAAGGCGTCCTGAACCTGGGTGCCATGTGCGGGAGCTCTCTCTCATCCATTGATCACAGTGTTGTCAGAACGATTGGTGGGTTATTAGACGAGATGACCATCCAGATTCTCTCAATCCAATGATCCATCCTCCCCTTCTCAAACAAGGTTCGTTGTTCATATGGTTTTCGATTGTATTTACGTCACAATGTCCTTCTGCAACAGGTAAATTACAGACCAGAATGCATTTGCACATTTTTTTATAGGCCAACGGGGACGCACTTTAATGGTTTCTGCTGGCATTACGCAACGAGCCACCATGCTGTAATTCTAATCACTTCCATATATGCTTGAGACTGCATGCCAAGTTTCCAACGATACGACAACTCCTTGGTGCGCTAATTTTTATGGCAATAAGTGTATTTTCTGTTTTTAACATTATATTTCATTTTGGCATTAAAAAATATAGCTAACTCTGTCATGTCCTTAAGATATGATAAGCATATATAAACAATAATTCAAATATAGCTTTGTGGCAAAAAATGTGATGTTTATGTTATTTAGACACAATCTAAAATATATTTTTCAATTCTTTTAGTTTCGAAAAAAACTTTTTATCGTCAAATTAGAAATTATTCACACACTTTTTTCCCTCTAAATCTTAAAACTAAACTCAATCTTCGGTGGATCTGAACTCACTAGTTATTTTTCAAATGGACAACTTAATCAATGTAAAAATTCGAAAACTGAATCTAAGGATGTAAAAAAACAACACCAACTTGTTATTAAAATAAGAAATTAAAAATAATTAAAGAAATTATAGATAATTTTAAAAATTAGTGCTAATATTTATAAACAATTCAAAATAAAAATGATTTTATAACTCGTTTTTCAACAACAATAACAACTTTATATTCTTTGTGTTAAAAAATTCTATATTTATTATTTTAATTTTTGCATTTTATTATTTACATAGTCTTATTTCCATAAAACATAATTTATATTACTCATCAAAGTGATAACTCAGGCTGTCAGCAAGTCTTAAGAGATTTATACGACTATAATTCGTTTTTTCTCGGGCATTATTTCGTTGATTGAAACGACAAATTTTCAGAATAAATCAAATTTCAGAAATTTATAGTTACAAGCAGGGCTGTGGAGTCGCGTAAAAATCTACCGACTCCGACTCTTCCTTACCATCCGTCTCCAACTCCGATCAGGGGCGGACTTGTTACCGAAAGAGACCCGGAAATTCTGATGTCATCACGTGACCTCAGAATAAAAGATTCAATAAATAGAGTTCTAATAAAGATACAACGTAGAAACTTTTTATTCCAAAGCTAAAAGACTCCTCTAAGTAATATATAAATATGTATTCGATAATTTTTACTTTTCCCTCTGTTATATATAACAGATGGAAAGTGTAGCGCTCGGTCAAAAAATGACCCTTCCCAAATTTTTACAATTTTGGACTCAGGACACCTTGAAATTTTGAGATATGCAAAAGACTCAAGGTTTTTTTCTATATTTGTGGATGTTATACTGTGTGTGGGGGCATGATTTGTTCACTTCGTTTCAAGCCTAATAATTTCTGTGGTCTGAGTGGTTAGAATCGGAGTCAGATGGTTTAACACAGGAGTTAGTTATTAAGTGTCAAGGTGTTTGAATTAAATCGTGTCCCCATGCATATTCTAACATCTTAGGCCAGAACATCTTAACGGGTTTTACTCTACTATTATAAAATGCCAAAAAAGCTTACGTTGAGGGTAGAGACGAGTTTTATATATTTTTTAAATTTTGAACGTTAATAACGAGTAAAATATTCATTAATTAAGAGATATGACACATGACCACTTTTATGTATTCACCCTGTCGAGCTTTAATTAAGAACCAAAATTTAACAGTATTAATGCCCCTTTATACTCAAGCTACAGTGCCATATTTCGTTTCGTAAACTTTTCCCATTCTCAGATATTGTTTAATATCTCAGAACAGAAAATAAAGAAATTAAACAAATTAAACGCCAACACACACGCGCGCGAATTTTTCCTCTTTTATTGACTTTTTGGGGGGTTCGGGAGGTCTCCAAACGTGTAGATTTGCAAAAAAAAAAACAAAAAAAAAATTGGCGGATCAAATTTGACGCGATTCCAATACTTTTCCGTTTTATATACATAACAAGTCGGGAAGTAAAAAGGAGTCGGAGTCGGCGGATTTTTTGACGACTCCGACTCTAACTCCGGCTAAATCACCAAAACTCCACGACTCCGACTCCACAGCCCTGGTTACAAGTAAGAAAGATAAAATTCTTATGCTCAACAGAAACAGTGTCTTGTTAAGTATACTCCTGGATGTAATTAATAGTAATATTTTGTCAGTATTAAATTACACATAGACTTTGAACTTTTTTGACTATCTTCAAGGATTCCTTGACCTTTTATCAAACCCATCTACTTTTTTGCTAGTACAGTTAATAATAATGAATAAATAAATCTGGTGAGTCAGTATTAATCCACAGACCATTTTTATAGAAAATATCTACTTACAATATGCAAATTCAGAACTGCCTTATACATCATCTAATGAACTAATGAGTAAGGAACCATTTTCAACCAATCTCCAACTAATTTTTGACTCTTGAAAATGCCTTACAACTCTTGAAAATGCCTTACAACATATTTTAGCCTTACTGACCCCTTGGGGTCAGTAAGGCTAAAATATGTTGTAAGGCATTTTCAAGAGTTGTAAGGCATTTTCAAGAGTCAAAAATTAGTTGGAGATTGGTTGAAAATGGTTCCTTACTCATTAGTTCATTAGATGATGTATAAGGCAGTTCTGAATTTGCATATTGTAAGTAGATATTTTCTATAAAAATGGTCTGTGGATTAATACTGACTCACCAGATTTATTTATTCATTATTATTAACTGTACTAGCAAAAAAGTAGATGGGGTTGATAAAAGGTCAAGGAATCCTTGAAAGTTAAAAAAAAGGTTGACAGCCAAAAAAGTTTGAGGATACCTGCTTTAGCATGAAAAATGTAAATGTTTTATTGTAATCCATTAAATAACAAATTCTCTAATATTTATAATTCTGGCAGCTGCAATACTTTTCTTTCCTCAAAGAAAATCATCATCATAATAATATTAAAGAACAGAAACATGTCTACTAATTATTGAAAAATTTGTTTTATTTTAAATATTAC